TGTTGTGGCTAATTGTAAATAATGCTGCAGTGAAGAAAGAGGTATAGATAGCTTTCTGAGTTAGTGTTTTTATTTTCTTCAGACAAAACTCAGACATGGAATTGCTGGATCGTATGGTAGTTCTATTTTCAATTTTTTGAGGAACCTCTTTACTGTTATCCATAGTGGCTGCACCCATTTCCATTCCCATCACTGATGCATAAGGGTTTCCTTTTCTCCATATCCTCACCAACAGTTTTTATTTGTTGTCAATAAATACGATGGTTATTATTGTAACCATTGTAACAAGTGTGAGTTGACATCTTCTTGTGGTTTTGATTTGCATTTCCCTGATAATTAGTAATGTTGAGCATCTTTTTATGTACCTATTGGCCATCTTTATGTCTTCTTTGGAAAAGTATCTGTTTAGATCATCTGCAGTTTTAAAAACTGATTTGTGGTTTTTTTTGGGTTTTTTTTGTTTTGCTATTGAATTATATATAGAAGATACATTTTGTACTAGTTGTTAAATTTGGATAAATGTATTTCTCACTTACACCAATATAAAAGTTGTTTTTAATAAAGTAGATTACTATAATTTTAAAATATCCAGATATTGAAATCCCAACTTCTCTTGATTATTCTGATTGAAATATTTAATTCTAAAGTGAAAGCACAAAATCTTTTTCGACAAGATGTTTATAATCTAGAAACAGTTGATATAAATCATAGACTTTCAGGTTTTATAGTCTTTGTTGTAACTACTCTGCCATCGTAGTGTGAGAGCAGCTATAAACAAATGGGCATAGCTGTGTTTCAGTAAAACTTCATAAAAACAAGCAGCTGGCTCACAGGCCATAGTTTACCATCCTCTGACCTAGTGCTAAAGTTTTTAATCTAATATATAACTGTCACATATATGATTTTTAAGGACTTCTAAAATTCAAGCCTGAAACCTTTGTGTATACTGTAAATTTAATGACAGAATTTAATTACCCTTTCAGTATTTCTAGTAATTCTGGGAAAACTGTGGCATGGTACTTTAAGTAACTACATGTTTCAAAAATATGTATATTTAAAAATAATAATAATATGTTCTCATTATAAAAAGTCAAAGTACCCAGAGGTAAAGTAGAAAATGAAAGTTTATACTTTTCCCACTTTCATTCCCTAGAAATATTCACTTTTAATAATTGGCCTATGCAGTATCCTTTTAGGTGTTCAGACTTGTGAATGAGATTATACTGTGTACTGTTCTGCAACTAGGAAAAATTTAAAAGTGTTTTAATTAAAAAGTGAAAATATAAGCACTGTGTGTTTGAGGAAGGGATTTTTAGATAAATACAGTCTAAGGAAGGGTTCCAGGAAAGAGCATACTTCTCTGGCATTCTACTTAGTTCCCTGAGATGATTTTGCTTTTCTTAGGTTCTTTCCTTCCAATATCAAAATACATGGGCACTTTTGTCTTTCTTGTTCTGTGTTTTACAGCAGCGTATTTTTAGAAATTAAGACTTTATAAACTAAGCCACAGTATTGAGTAACTTGCCTGAGTTGCAGAGCTGGTTAGTGGGAGATCGGGGAAGAATACTTTGAGATACCACCATCCCAAAATATTTAATGTGTATGTGTGATAGATTATTTTCTTCTGGTTAGAAACAAAGCTTAGGAATTAATATTACCTTGTTTTAAAAAATATGAAACAATACAGAAGTATTGCTTATAAAATGAATGAAAATAGAAGTGAAATTATTCTGCCAAAGGATATACACATTAAAAATTTTGAAAGTCATTGTCGCAAAGTTTGAACTGTTTTCAGTCTCTCACTCTGTAGACATGCCTAAGCCAACATTTTAGTTACAGAGAATTTTAGAGATTTAAATGCATTTCAAATTTACCCTTATTAAACACTTTCAGGATTATCAAACTAACTCATTCGAAGGATTCATTTGAGAATCTAGCCTTTGTCTGATGCAGTCATACAGTCATATAGCAGGATATAAAGCATTTGAGTGAGCATTAGGAATATAGAACTGATATATCCCTTTGTGAGATTTTTTATTTTCCTTAGCTTATAGATGTGACACTATCATAACATTATCTCTATCTCTTTTCACATAGTCTTCCTTCTTTATATATTTCTGTGTCCAAATTTCTCTTCATAAGGACAACAGTCATTGGATTAGGGTCCAGTCTAATGACCTCCTTTTAACTTGGTTACCTCTAGAAAGACCCTATTTCCAAATAAGGTTACATTCTGAGGTATTGGGGACTATAATTTCAACATTTCTTTTTGGGGGACACAGTTCAACCCGTAACATTGCTCTTAACCATGATTGGGACATATAGTCACCTGGCCTCTTTCTATTGCATAATAGACTCTTATTTTTTAGTGATAATAGGTCAAAACATACCAAGGAAGAAAATAATGGGACATACAACAAGCCAGAGAAGTCTTGGCTAGGAAAAGAGGACCAAAACGCAAGGTTGGAGGCAGTGTCCGGAATCTAGGAGGTTTGCCTAGATGATGAAGAGCAGGTGAACAGTGAAGTTTCCAAGATTATAGGCCAGACCATAGGATGCAGGAGATAAAATATTCAGAGCAGTATTATATAATCTGTGAAAGAGTACAAATCCACTTTTCTTTTTAGTATTTTATAATCTGACTATGGAGAGAAGGTATAAAAGATAAGAAACATTAAATAGCAGTTTATAATACAAAAACAAGTTAAAATATGCCACTGACAGGGTATGATTATCAACTAACTATAGTTTTCTTAGAAAGGAGAAAGGTTTTCTGAAGTTGAAATTGCTAGTAATGGCTTTATAAAGAAAGTAATGTTTTACTCAGACATTAAAAGATGGATAGAATTTGAATAGGAAAATAGCTTACACAGAAAAAGAGCATACAGTGAGGAAAGGGCAAGTAAAGAGAGCTTTTAGTGTAAGTATTACTACACGAAGGAAAGTATCTTCACAGACGATAGGAATGATCTGACTTTGATCAGTGATCTGGTAGGACAAGAGTTATTAGCTGTAAGCATATGACCAGAGAGAGATGTAGAATTCTACAGATACCAGTTCTTGAGTAGAGCAGGGCCAGAGGATGAGCCTTTAGGAGAACGTTATAGTATGCTTTGTGCCTTCACTGAACTGTTTTTAGTCTTAACATAAGAGTTCTCCCTTTCTACATTTATTCTTTGCCATTTATTTCTGCTTCCTAAGGCATCTCATTCCCCTATGTATTCCATTAGTCCCTTCTGCATCTTCAGTCACTCTTTAATTTAACTTTTCTTCTGTCTTCTAATTTACTTAGGTTGTTCATATCTTAGACTTTTATTTAAACTAGTTCTTCCTTTTTAGTAACGATGTTTCTCCTTCCACTGTTGTCAAGCATTTCAAATGAGAGTTTAAATTATGTCATTTTGTCAACATTCATTTCATCTGAATTTATTTTCACAGTGATACTTTAATTCAGAATTTTTATAGTGAGGATCGATTAATGGAAGTTTTCTCTCTGTTTTATCATCAATAGTAAGCATACTTGCTCTTTGTCCCAGAGGGATGCATTACCTTATTTCTCAAGTTTGAAAGCTGCAAATAACAACCTTGAGAAATGGCCTGGTTAGTGAGTGGTCTGGGCCCTGCATTTTTGGCATATCCAGCAGGGAGTGTAGGCACACATGAGATTCATGAAGGAATGTCTCCCCAAACTAGAACCCTGGCTGTCATTCATAATTCTACTGTTGCCTACCACATGTAGTCATTCCCAGATTAAATACTTTTAAACTATACCACCCTAGACCACATCATACTGTCTCGAATATTGCTGCCACTGCCTCCTGAGAAATCTCTGCCTCCTGCTCCCTTTCTACACACCCATTCCTGTTCCCCCTCCACATAGAACAGTCTCTCTAAAACAATAATTACTGTTGTACACACAGAACTTTTGGTGATTCACAAAATGTGTAAATTATTAACATGATACACAGGGATCTGCTGGTTGAATCTCTTCTTTGCTGTCAAGCTGTAGCCATAGTGAAGTGTTCATTCTGTAGACACCCCTCCTATTCTTGTTCTCTGCCCTTCTGAAATGCCACCATCCATGGGCACATTTTTGCTTTCTGTGACTTGGTACCTCTTTAGTGGAATTTCTTTCTCTCACAACCTATCCTGATGGTATTGATTAAGACCTATCACCTTTTTGGTCCACCTGCACTAATTTTACCATCTTCTGTGCTTTTCTAGAATTCATCGGTTAGGACAGTGTATTATGCTATCCAGCTTTTAACATTTCAGTATAATCTAAAACCTCCCTGAATTGACATGTGTAATACTTACTTTCATCTTACTGTTCCTGTATATGTTTTCTCTTGAACTAGATGAAAACTTATTTTGGTAGTATCAACATGATAGTCCATTGTTTTATACTTCTGATATTGTAACTTCATTTCTCTTGGGGGTTCAAGATGAATGATCCACGAATTAGATTCTGTTCTATGGGACAGAGGTATTTCAGTTTATTTAAAGAAATTTTTCATAGGAATTTCAAATTTGGGTCACTATAGACAATTTTAAAAAGATGATGTTGTGCATATAGTGTCACAATAAACTTGAAGTATTTTTCAATAGTGGGTATAGACTACTTTTTCCTGTAGACTTGGTCTGTAGTTCAGGTCAGTACCTAATCTCCTTTTGTTTTTTGCTTTACTTTTACAGGCATATACTAGTGTCTCTAAGGCTTCACTTAGCCTTTCAGATCACAGAGAACTTGGAAAGATGATGAATACAATAATTTTTCACACAAAAATGGTAGATTCCCTGGTGGAAATGTTGGTGGAAACATCAGATCTGTCCATATTTTGGTATGTTGTAATTTTCTTTAAAATCAGAATTTGAAATTTTTATTATCCAAAGATATGTTTCTTATTTTGCACTAGTGTAGTGCTTAAGACAGTTCAGTAATAGATCCTTAAGAATAAAGAAAATAGTGGACAACTTGCCAACAAAATTAAGTTTATCAAGTTTTAATTCTTTATAAGAGCAACTCTTACTGATGTGAATTTATTTTTTACACTTCCTTTGAGGAGGTGAAAAACAGTCACATCAAATTGTGTCATTTAGGCTACGAAAAAAAAAAAGATTTGGATCAGGGTCAAATAGAGCCAATATTAGAAATTAAATACCAAATAATTTGCAGTATTTGGACATTACTACGATGATGATGTGGTGACTGTTCCGTCCATTGAGCTCCACTCTTCTTTCCTTCTATCATATAGCTCTTTTGTTGTACTTAATAGTTTACAACCTTTGTCCCCTCTTTCTCCTCATGTAATGTGGTTCTTGAAGGAAGGTCATGGTTTTGTTTCCTTAGTGTCTGACATAGTAGGTACTTAATAAATGTTTAAATGAATACATGATTGTGATAAAATTAATAAATAGTGGGATCAGGACTCAAACTTAAGTATTCTGGCTCCACAGCTATATAATGTCAACTCTGTTTCTGCTTCTTGACCTTTTTTTCTTTAGGAAAGCTGATGGAAATAACGTAGTAGGTTCTTTTATTTCTAAAATGCTGAGATAGTCTCAGTGGATAGTGATCGTAGTTTCTATATACTGAATAGAGATCATTATAAAAAGCTTCTCATTGCTTTTTTAAAAACTGAAGTATAGTCAATTTACAATGTTGTGTTAGTTTCTGGTAATAACATAGTGATTCAGTTATACACACACACATATATATTCTTTTCCATTATAGGTTATTATAAGCTGTTGAATATAGTTCCCTGTGCTATATTATAATATCTAGTTATTTGCTTATTTTGTATATAGTAGTTTATATCTGCTAATCCCAAACTCCTAGTTTATCCCTCCCTCTCCCTTTCCCCTTTGGTAACCATAATTTTGTTTTCTATGTCTGTAAGCTTTTCATTGCTTTTATTTTGGCGATGGGGAGGAATAATCTACACTGATTTTTGCAGTTTGTTGGTATCACTTTAATTAACAGAAGAAATCCAAATTGCCAGGGAGAGAAGGAGTAAGAGATCCCTTAAAAGAAACACAATAATCACATAACAAGTTTGTAAGAATTTTAAAAATTATTTGGAGCCCTGTCCTATTGTCTGACCCAAAGGCTCCCTTGGAAAGAAAGTGGAACGTTTTATGTTTAGGTATTTTTTGGCTGCAAAAAGTTTCCTTTTGCAAGAGAAGGATACAGCAATTAGAATTCCTCCTCTCTTTCTTGGAAATAAAGACACTTAGAGTAATGTTTAAATTTGCAAATTTTTAGTCAAATTTAATTAATTTTTTTTTGAGTAAAAGTAGGTTTGTTCAGAGAGATGCACACTCCATAAACAGAGTACAGACCATCTCAAAAGGCAAGATAAAGGCAGAAAGACCTAGGAGATACACATTCCGTAGGAAGAATGTGGGCCATCTTACTCCAGAAGGGAGAGCGGCAGTCTCGGAGCGTATTTTTTCTTAACCACATCCTTATTTTGTCTGTCACATACAAAATAAAGATGTTTACTGCTCTGTTTGTCTTATTATTCCAAGATGTACTATATTTTATCACCTCACAATCATTTAGATTTAACATCTTTTAAACTTGGAAGTAATTTAAAATTGATAGTGTGTCATTGTTTAATTGACAATGTTTTTCCTTCTTAGTGGCACATAAAATAATGATGTTTCTTATAATAGATAGTGACTTGGCTTTGATGAAATTTGATGTAGGATTTGAATATTCATATACTATAGATATGGTTCATTTTCTCTTTAACTTTTTTATTTTAAAATGTGTTAATGTTATACAAATAATATTTTTATTACTCTGAAATGATTATTGGTGTGTAAGAGATAACTCCTTGGAAAAATAACTGTTCCTTTCCTAAAAGAATAAATGCTGTTAGTAACTTTGATTCATTTGAATCAAATTAAATTAACTAAGGTACTGTATTATAAAATTTCAATTTTAACTATAAAAATTGTGATTCTAATTTTTGTTTCCTTACAGTTTTTATAGTCGTGCTTTTGAGAAGATGTTCCAACAGTGTCTGGAGTTACCCTCTCAGTCACGATACTCAATTGCATTTCCACTACTTTGCACTCATTTTATGAGTTGCACACATGAACTGTGTCCAGAAGAGGTAATTTCAGAGTGGTATTGTTATTTATATGGTATGCAGTATAAATGACGCCAAACATGTAGCTGACCAAATGTTCACAAAGACTCACAACGTCATAATTACCTAATCTAACTCCCCACCTAATGCATCTCTATGCAGAATCAGAAGAAGGCTTGAAAAAATATATGATAATAGGTATAACAGATGCAGTATACATTTGAATGAATGGATAAAGACATGTACATGTTTATAGGAACATATCATAAAGTCACTTGGAATAACCTTTATTAAAATGATGGGTCAGGTATTAATATTTATGGTAAAGTTATATATAGTGATTGATTTTTGTATGCTTAGTTTTCCTCTGAAACTATCATTGAAAAGAGTTGAAAATTGAATGGAGGAGAGGTTACTAACTAAACAGAAACATGTCAAAGAGGAATTTCACCAACTTATTGAATATGTACAGTAAGCAGAATCCAGATTTGCTGATATTTGTAAAACATTCACATACAGGCACACAGACACACAGTTACTGAGTAATTCAAGTAGTCAGCAGTTTTATAGATACCAAGTATCTATCAAAAATGTACTCAGTATTTCTTCTAATCTTTCAAGAAGAAATATTACTTTGCTAATATGGTAAGAATATATATGTTAAAATTAAATCTTTTTTTTTTCAAATAATTTAACTTAGTGTTGAGTCTCTTTACTTAAAACTACTGAACTTGTAGATATGAAACTTATAGATGGCTGAGACGTTACTAATATCTTTAAGCATTAGGTAGTATCTATTGCATATTGTTTTTCGTATTCCATTGGAAGCAGAGTCTGAGACAGAAGTTAGCCTGCAAGAAATTTATTAGGCAGTGCTTTTAGGATAAAGACCTGTGAGGCTGTAATGTCACCAATTTTAATAGATTTTTTCCCCCAATCATGACATATAAAATACATTATTAATTTTTTCTTTCCTATCATCCTTCCCATTAATTACCCATGAAGTCCTCCTTATTTTATTTGTGTGGTATCATTTCTTGAATCCATCTTTTACTTTCCATTGCTATTATAACTATTGTAGTTCAGCTTTCAGTGGTTTTCTTATGTGCTCCTAAATAGTTTTTCTTCCTTCAGTATTTCTGCCTTTAAGACTTAACAATGCCACTAGAGTGCCTCTTTCCTTTTTAAAGTACATACAGAGAAAATAAAAAATTTCTCAGGCATATGAGATCCTCAACAATCTGATCTCTATCCCCATTCTTTTTTTACTTTATGGATATGTATACATATATATAAAACATAAAAATGTGTCCTTTTAACCATTTTAAAATGTACACTTCAGTGGCATTAATTACCTTCACAGTGTTATGCAACCTCACCACTGTCCATTTTTGAAACTTTTATCACTCCAACCAGAGACCCTGTATACCCTTAAGCAATAACTCTCCAGCCTCCTGTCCTTCATGTACTCTAGTCTACTTTATGTCTCTATGAATTTGCGTATTCTTGAGAGTTCATATAAGTAGAATCATTCAATATTTGTCCTTTTGTGTGTCTGGCTTGTTTCATTTAACATAATGTGTCAGGACTCATCCATGTTACAGCATATATCAGCACTTCCTTTTATGAGTAATAATCAGTGCTATGGTATATCACATTTTGTTTATCTACTGTATACTCCCAGTCTTCTACTTTCCACTCCCTACTGTAACTAGCTCACCTAATATAAACTGTACTAATTTACTTGTCTACCTTGTGGCATCATTGAGGCTTTTCCTCATACATAAAATTCATTTCACTACACTTCTTACCTTTTCTTCAGTGCTCAGCTTAAATCCTACCTCCTCCAAAGAGATTTTCAGCATTTCTTCAGTTAGAATTTGTCCCTCCTTTACCATATTTTCATAGCACTTTACATCATTATTTTATCTGTCATCATCTACATTGTGTCATTATTTTAAAGTTCCTATTTCATTTAGTTGATTGTTATGTTCCTTGATAGGGTAGGACTTAGTTCTTAAGAAATAATTACAAAAGGTAATTAATAGTATGTTTATGTAGAATAGTAAAATTTATATAGTTCTGTCTTTTTTTCATCTGATTATTACAGCAAAATAACAGCATAGTCAGAACTACTAATAATTATCCTTAGTTTACAGATGAGGAAAGTCTCTGGTGGACTGATGTTTTTTCCTCCCTATACTTACATAGCTAGTAAATGGTACTGTTCTGTTTTTCATTTAGCTAATTTGTTAAGGCTTATTATTTTCCAGTTGTGCCTTGTTAAGTCCTGTGATTGAAAAGATGCAAAGACACAGCCTCTACCCCCAGACAAATCCGTGATCTGATGATCTGTGCTGTGGTAGAAATAATGTTGAGGGAGTTCACCTAAGGGTGAGGGTCGAATAAAGTGATATTCACAGTTAAGAGTTTTCGGTGCACTCTTGTTTTATAATTTTAGTTTTAGCTATTCATCTCATTTAGATCAGGGTTATAGAAAATGCCTCTAGAATAACTTCTTAATGCTGAGGCCTCATTTTAAGCTGGAGTACTTAAAATGAATTTGCAGAAAGATAGTACCTTTTGGGGGGTGGTAATTAGGTTTATTTGTTTATTTAGTTTATTTTTAATGGAGGTACTGGGGATTGAACCCAGGACCTTCTACATGCACTCCACCACTGAGCTATATACCTCTTCTCACCCTTGTACAAGCCACATCTTTTGCCTGGATGATGATTATTGCCTCCTAAGTGGTCTCTCTGCTTCTGCCATTATCTTCTGTTCTCAGCACAGCAGCCAGAGTTAAGAAACCTTAATTGTTTTGTTTTCCAATCTTAGCATTTTTGAGCCATTGAAGGGAAGTTGTGAAATCGGATCTGTATTTTAAATAGTCTAGTACGTTTGAAGCAATGCTAGTTCATTGTTCTTTTTTCAGGAAGAAGTGATAGCAAGGGATATGTTTTATCTTTCAAGAGTCAAAATTTGGTTAAACAAAACCCAAATATTTATAGTTTGAAATCTTTCCTTAAGTGAACCATCATTTAATTGTATATGGCCTATAGATCTCTTTTGGTATGGCTTCCTATTAAAGTTTTAAAGGGCATTTTAAATAAATACATTATAAGCTATGGTAGGTCTAGGATCAGTTATTTTACATGTTTAAGTTTTTTTATATTCTTTTATATTATCTTATATTTATTTCAACATAGAAATAATGTTTGTAAACTCTCCATAAGTTTGTTATACAATTATGGAAGGTCAGGGAAAGAAAACTTATAAAAATTTGTCTCTGTGTGAAGTATTACAAATGTATAGTGCAAAATTATACAGCATTATATACTTAACATTGCAGTCACCACTGACAAGAAAAACTTATTAAACTATTGGCAACACCCACCAAAACTAAAAAGATACAGAATTTTGTAGCTAAAGATAGCTGGATTTGAGTGAGTCTATGTATCTACATATCATATATAATCTCCCAAAAGTTAGATATAATGTTCTTTTTTCCCCTTTTGTGTTCAGAAAATGCATGCATGGTCAGCTTTTTTTTTTCTCTTCTGAGACAGGGAATTTGATTCTAGGGAGCTGAATGTCTTGTGAATTTGTTTGTTTTACTGACTTGATTTCTAATGATTTTATTTAAATATTTGAGCTTTTCTTTTCCTGTTTATACACTTGAAAGTTCTTTGTTGTCAAGATTTACATATATATAAATGGTGAGATCTGAAAATATTACTCTAAATCTGTTCTTTCACATCATATGTTTGATAGCTTAGTATTTAAGAACTGAATATAGGACATTGTGGAATTTGAAAATTAAAAGTTTTTCATGTGAAGGAAAATACTTTTCCTTTGAGATTCCCTCCAGTCATACTTTATTTGTATAATCACTAAGTATTAAGTGTTTATATCAAACTACTATCTTAAAATTTTTATTACTGCTGTTGTTACTACATTGTTTTAACAGCGACATCATATTGGAGACCGCAGTCTTTCTTTATGTAATATGTTCCTCGATGAAATGGCCAAACAAGCTCGAAATCTCATCACTGATATTTGCACGGAACAGTGTACTCTTAGTGACCAGGTGATAATTTAAATGTTTCCTTACAGCTGGGAAAATTATATGAAGGCAAGAAAATTATCTCTTAGCTAGTCCCCCCCCCCATTTTAAAAATTATTAACTCTCTCAGTAAATCTCATTACCTCTTGTTGTGAGCCTCCATAGTTAGGTTTATAAAAAATTGCTACTGTCCTTAGGATTACTTACACTTTAAAATCCAGCCTCTCTAGCTTGTTATTCACATCCTGTCCTGATAGCTCAGACCTCTCTACCCTGCACTTGATGCTCCACTACCTAGTAGTTCTCACTAGATTCTGAACATACTGTATCCTTTCATACTTTTGGTCTTCATAGGCCATTTTTCTTTCAGGAAAGTGTTCTTTCTTATTCCTCACTTGGCTGGTATTTTTTAACTTGTCCTTCAACTGTAGCTTTGCTGTAACTACCTCTGTAAAGTGTTTCTTCACACAGGGTTTACCTATTTCTGTTTTCCACAAAGTTGAGTGGGCTGTCCAGCTGGCTAGGTAAACTGTACCTCTCACTTACACCCCTGTTCTTAGTTCTAGCATGATATTTACTACATAGTCTGGATTTAGCTAAGGTTATTTAAATAGTTGTTTTCAAAGTATTTGGTGTAATGTGAGATTTCATTTCTTTCTAAATTTAGTTGCTGCCTAAGCATTGTGCCAAAACCATCAGTCAAGCAGTGAATAAAAAGTCAAAAAAACAGACTGGTAAGAAAGGGGAACCTGAAAGGGAAAAACCAGGAGTTGAGAGCATGAGGAAAAACAGACTGGTAGTGACCAAGTAAGCCATCCACTGTTATTGTATCATTTTGTCACAGGTAGAAGAGTTTTTTCTTTTTCTTTTTTCTTTTTTTTCTTTTCTTTTCTTTTCTTTTCTTTTCTTTTCTTTTCTTTTCTTTTCTTTTTCTTCCTTTTTTTTTTGTATGGCATTAGTACTGATGAAATGCTAGTAAATGTAAATTCTTCATTTCCCATTTGTTAATTTTTTTTGTCTTTGTGATCTTGATTAACCAGTCAGTGCTTATTTCATCCCCAAATACAGATTTTTGGATTTTTGAAGAAAATGCATGTAATAGATGTAATTTGTCTTTATATGCTGAATATTGAAGGCCAAGAATCTGTCTAAAAGTTTTGGAGGGTATACTATAAGCAATCTATAATTTTCAGTTTATTTAAAATCAGGTGTCTGACACTATTTTGGCATCTTACCATGTATTAGAAAATACCTGATGTCGTTATTTTAGAATGGGTATATCAGACTAGATAGCATTCAGTGCTATTTGTAGGGGAGACATAGGTGAGCAAAATGGGTGAATATTTTTTGTTTAAAGTAAGTTTCCTACTTTCTTGTTTCCTGTGTTGAGCAAGCTGTTGGCCATTTTGTAGACAATGTTCTTCCTCCACAACAGAAAGTACAGCAGGAGTTGGAAATGATTGTCTTTATGAGTGCATAATAAGCTCTTTCTTGTGTATTAAGTCAATATATTTGAATAAATAAATGAATAGTGCTATCTTTAGAATATTGCTCTGAAAGGTTAGTGATATCCTTAAAGATTTTGAACTTTGTCAGTTTAAGAGAGAGATAAAATTGAATTCTGTAGTTATCCCAAAACAAGATCTGATATATATATATATATATATATATATATATATATATATATATATATATATATATATATATATATATATATATATATATATATATATATATATATATAATTAATTTTGTGTTGCTATGATTAAAGTGTTGAAATTTTTATTAACTGTTTATTAATATTTTTTCAGCCTTGATAAATTGCACACTGCACTTTCTGAGTTGTGTTTCTCTATAAATTATGTACCAAACATGGTGGTTTGGGAACATACCTTTACCCCACGAGAATATTTGACTTCTCATCTGGAAATCCGCTTTACTAAGTAAGAAAGAATATAAACTTTTTGTTTGTTGGTTCAGTTAATGAGTTATATTTATTCTTCATATCTGTGCAATGTTTCCTTTTATGAGGGAATGCATCAGTAGAAATGATATAGTATAGAGAGTAATTAACTGGAAAGTATAAAGAGTGTAGTGAACTGGTATTAACTTAAATTACTCAGATTCTTATCCCATACTTATTAACTAGTTATAAGATTGGATAAGCCAATCTCTGTGAGTCTTAACTTCCTTATAAGCAAAATGAGAAGATTGGGGCAAATCAGTGTACTTCAACTGGCAGGTGGCAACCGAACAGGATAGGATCACGAAATCAGTTTAGAGAGTTGTAGTCAACATTTAAAAAAAGATGGAGAGAAGGAAAGAAGAAGAAACAGGAAAAAAATCAGTTCATTGCATGTAGTAAGTAGAAATAATGCTTCATGAAGCTTTTCAGTTATGTGTATGTATGTGTGTACTGAGTTGTGATGCTAGATACATACCTTACAGTGAGTCACAGTCAAATGTTTGAAACCCCAGTACTTCTGAATTCAGATGTATGCTGTTATTTACACTAGTAGAATTCTAGACTTGAGGCACTCAGTTCTAATTAGTTTTACATTATATATGCTTTTTGAAATGATATTTTATGTAACAAGTCAGAAATCTTTTGATTTTGTAAATGTTGCTTCAACCTTTTTCTAAAGTTACACACTTACTTATTAAAGAAAATATTGATTGATTGACAGGTTTTTCATGAAGGCCTTAAACCAATTTATAAAACAAAATTTTGCCAAAGGTTTTTCAAAAAGTTCAGCAAAATGTTGTAACCACTAACAAGCAGTGCCATATGTATACATTGTGCTAAGTACTATGAGTAGTAATGAAATGATATAAAGCTTAGAGCTACAACAATTACAGAACTAAACAGAATATGTAAGTGAGGAGTAAATTGAGTGTTAAGTCATCAGTTGAGAAGAATCTAGTGTTGAACGAAGACTATCTTTTGCTCTTCTTTAGTAAGGCAGGCGTCCTGACATGAAACCCAGAATGCGCCAGTGTTTAGCCCAAAGGGACCTTATGCCTTCTGTTATTTATTATTCTCAACTGGATGGGGTGGTGGAGTGGTAGGTGGAAGATAGGGTTCAGTTTATAGCTCCCTTGTTTTCCTTCTGTAAACAGTCTGGTACGTTAATCCAAGGATAAGCAGATGTTCTCTTTAGCAGACATCTACTTAGTGATCAGGATCAAGGCAAGGCTGTAAACTTGTTTACCTGGGAAAGATTTTTATGCCAGGACCAATAGCTTGTGAGCATTAGTTGGTTGATTTTTGCTGGTCAGTTGAACACACTCTCAGGACTTAGGGGCTGTGTACAAGGATAGCAGTTTTTGTCTTGAGCTGGTCTTCTGGGACTGTTACTAGTGATGAGGTTTGTCTGTTGTCTGTAAGGATTCATTCTTACAAATACAAGTCAAAGATCTTTACAAATCTAATGTTCAGGGAGTTTTAAAGAATGTAGAATAGGGGTGGGAAAAGATCATTTAGGAAAGGATTTTCAAAATTTATGTTTCCTTTTAAGCTTATCCAATTTCTTGGAATATAAACCAAACAGATATGTGTTTTATGTGCTGTGAGTGACTAAATACAATAAAGTTTTTTGTTTGTTGCTTTGTTTTTGTTACACATTTTGTTGAGAGGCAGCAGTAAGTCAGGCAAGTCTGAGGTCAAGCCATAGATTTACACTTTCAAACAAAGTGACTTGATCAGTTTGAGTTCTGTGCCTTAGTTTTTTTCATCTGTGGAATGGTGGTGATAACTGCATGATAGGGTTATTAAATATGAGAATTGTAGGTGATACATATAAAGCCTAAAAAACTACGGGCACATCATAGTGCCAGTGCCCAAGGAATTCAAGCTGTGGACTGAATAGTCCATTGTTCTTGCTGTAGACAACATACCATATTAAAGGAATTTTTTTAAACCCTCTTTATTCTTAAATTATTTTTATTGATGTCTACAGTATTTTTATTAGTCATTTGCATTTCCATTTCATTATACGTTTTAGATGTATTTTTTTCAGGTTGTTTCTTTGAAATATAATAGTAATAGTAATTTCATGGATTTGTAACAAATTGTATTTAAAATTAATTTTATTGCTTATTTAATATTAGGGATCAACGGATTGAATGGCCTATTTACATAAATGCAAAAATTAGAGCTTTTTTCTTACTCTTCCCTGCCCCCCACCCCAGGTCAATTGTTGGAATGACTATGTATAATCAAGCCACACAGGAAATTGCAAAACCATCAGAGCTTCTAACAAGTGTAAGAGCATATATGACTGTACTCCAGTCAATAGAAAACTATGTGCAAATTGATATTACAAGAGTATTTAATAATGTTCTTCTTCAACAAACACAACATTTAGACAGTCATGGAGAGCCAACCATTACAAGTCTATACACAAATTGGTAAGGAACATACTTAGAAATTTGGAGTGATACAAATTTTTTGTAATGAATGATTTATGAAAGTTTTTTTTAATGGATAAATGCTCATTCATGTTAAGTTATGTGTCACCTTAAAATTAGGTACAGGAATGTATACCATAATAAACTTTGAATTAAACAGTTTCTCCCGGTTATAAATTTACTTTTCTCCTTAGGTATTTGGAAACTTTGTTAAGACAAGTCAGCAATGGTCATATAGCTTATTTCCCTGCAATGAAAGCATTTGTGAATTTACCTACAGAAAATGAATTAACATTCAATGCAGAGGAATATTCTGACATATCAGGTGAATAATACTCTGACGTATTTTAGAAAATCAAGAAACCTTGATTCTTTTGGTTTTTGATTCTGAGATAATTTTTATTCAATTAATGGATAATCATACATTCTATCTTAGACTTACCTTTGCATTTGTGTTCTTTTTTTGTTCTAGAGACTTGTCTTAGGGTTTTCCATTAATAATTTGCTTCTTAAAATATTTGCTCTGTCAAAGTATATAATTAATTACATTTCCTTTCAGAAATGAGGTCGTTGTCAGAACTTCTAGGCCCATATGGTATGAAGTTCCTAAGTGAAAGCCTTATGTGGCATATTTCATCACAAGTTGCTGAACTTAAGGTAATACAGTCTTTATTGATTTTAACTTTAAAACATTTCAAGACTATGAACAGCAAGCCTAGAATGTTAATTATTTTAACCTGACATGAAAGTTGTCATATGTAAATGAAATTATTGAGCTAGCATGGTCTGTCAGTAACATGTTCATTTAGTTCTGTTGTACAAATGATGAAACAGAAAGCCTAGGGAGGTGAATTGACTAGCTAAAGGAGACTGAAGCTCACATTCCTTGACTTTTGGTCAAGTCTTCATTCTGTTGTACCATGATGCTTTTCTTTGAATAACCATGTTCAAAATTCCAACCAGTCATTTGTTTAAATTTGTAGTTAGAATGTATTTCCACAGATTGTAATACAAACATTATTAGTCTTATTATTTATTGATTATTAAGCAATCTTTTAAATTATCTTGTGCCTTTTTAACTGGATGAAGAATGTCTTTAGAGTGCTTAGCATTTTAATAACGATGTGAAAATGCTGAAGCAGCATTTTAAATAAAGCCTTTTAGAAAGATCTCAGTGCTAAGGTGATTTATACTAAATGAGCCTGTATATAATAGCTACCTAATTTTTGAACAAATTTGTATTTGGGCCACTAAAACTTTTGAATTTATGAACAGAATAGAAAAGGCATGTCTTAAAATATGCCTTTTCCTCTGTGAAAGTTTTTTAGTGATTATTTGTGCCTTACATTTTAATTACTTAAAGAGTATGGTATATACCATTGATAAATAGCATGCATTTCTGGTGTAGCACTTAGAGGTCTAAATGTGGTAGTCTGATTTACCGAAAATTGTGCACATATATAGGAGAAGCCAATTCCTACAAGGTTAATAATGTTTTACTGAGTGAATAAAATAGATAGCAAGACTCATTGTGACTAAGAGGAGAGGCAGTATTACCCAGTGGTTAAGAATTCAAGCTTTCAAGACAGGCTGCATTTCAATCCTGTCGTTTAAGAGCTTTGACTTTCGGCAAAGCTTAAACTCACTAAGCTTTTACTATGAGAATCGTGTGAGGTAATACATGTCTAGTGCTTAGGTATTCAGCATAGTCCCTGACACACAGTAGATACTGAGTTAGTATTTGGTGTGTATCATGTCATCCTCTCACTGTTCTTTAAAAGAAATTCTTGTATAAAAATCAGCTTTTTAGATACTTTATAATTTGGGTCTTACAATGTTGACTTCTTTTTCAGTGCTGTGAGTTTTCTGACTCAAGTGTTATTTTTTGGCTAGATTCTTTTTCAGATATTTGAGAATATTAACTCTGAGTTAAAAAGTTAGGTAAAAGAAACTTTGTGTAAGAACTTACATTCATTATCTTTGAGATACATGGGTGTGAATTAGTTTGGGTTTCTCAGTAAATGTAAAATAGTCCCAACACCAAGGTTCAGGATACTAAAACATTTTGTTTTCTAAAACTTTTGTTTTTAACATTTTATTAAAATCTTCTATGTGATTTTCCTTACTTGACCTGACTTTTCATTTTACCTTCACAAAAACTTGCATATTTTATTAATGATTTAGTGGTAATTTTAAGAAGACTTCTCAAAAATCATGATTATGTTTTGGTATTTAAGGGCTTTCTGTTTTTACTTTTTAGCTTCTCAAGCACTAAATCCTGATTTAGCTAAGTATTTTTCAAAAGGCTTCTTCATGTGGTCAGCCATAAATATGAAAGCTTTACATTTCTAACATTGTACTGAAGTCATTTAGATTTCTGCAAAACAAGGTTGTCCTAAGGATTCAGTTTTCTGGAATTCCAAGTGCTTTTACATTGATTTTTTTTTTTAGAGATCTTTTTTTTTTTTAGAGATCCTTCTTAACAATCCCAAGATGTAATTCAGATTTCTCTGAATTTAATTACTTGTATATTATTAAGAACTAGAGGTGTTATTTATGACTTTGTATTCTTAGCCTCTGTAGTCTGAGGCATACTTCCAATGTGTATTCTTATGTTTTTGTTCCATAAGAAATTTTATGATCATAATAGTATTTCATATAAGCAAGTTCAGTGTGTTTTATACTATTTTCTCTCATTGGGTTAAATCTCTAAAAGTACTTGTCTATGAATGCTGATTCTAATTGTTTCACATTTTTCACCATCCTATAAAATTGCTTTCCTTAGAATAACAGAATTTATGAAATTGCGGAAATAAAATAACATAGAGATTTTTGCTTCCAGTATTGATTGGTAGGCTAGGATATTTAGACCAACCTTTCCCTTAAGGACAACTTTTTTTAAATGGAGATATATATAAAGACAAAAATCTTCTGAAGAAGAGCTAAAAAGACAGTTAGGCCCAAACTGGGCCCAATTCAAGGAGACTCTGGGAACTCAGAGACAAGCCTAGCACTGGAAGCCACTTTTGACCTGAGTGTGTTTACTGATCCAAGAGTAACATTTGTAAGATTAAGCTGTAGTTCTGGTGGTCTTGTGGAGCAAGAGGCTCCCTACCCAAAGCCTGCCCAGAGTGGGTGTGGGAAGGAAGTCTGCTTAAATTCCCTTTCACCCTCTTTCTGGAGATACCCCAAAGAGTTATACCTTCAGGGTAGCAGTGAACTGGAAATGATTCACCCCTCCCCAGAACTTGCAGCCCTTAATTTATGTTACTCTCTTTGTCTTGCATCTCGAGTCTTAAACGTGGATTAAAGTGATTCTAGATTAGTAGTGGCCCAAGGTGTTTGGCAGACGCTAATAAAAATTCCCTCTGGAGAAAGGTATCGTCACTCTCAGCTTCAGGTGTTTCCTGCAGATGATTTTTCAGACATGATAACCTCCAGCTAGAGAGTGGAAGTCTATAGGAGATCAGTGGAGGTAGGAAGTCTAATACATCTGGCTGGCTGCCATGACTTGTAGGTCATTCTCCCTCTCTCTGCTGCCACCTTCTATTCCTGGTGTTCCTCCTTGTCAGTGTCACTTCTTAAGATGATGAGAAGTTAGGTGTGTAACAACCTCCCAATGCTGACGTGTAATAACCCTCATGTTACCAACCCCAAGTCTTCCTTTCTTTGCCACTGCATACAATTTCTGAGCACTGTGTGGGTCCAAAGGCTTCCATTAGCTTGCCTTCTGCATTGTATCTCCCCTCCAGGAACTTTAATGCTCAAATTTCTCACCTCTACTTACACTTTGCTCCAGTTTTCATCTTCTAAAAGTTTGTTGGCGTCTCTCATTTGGTCTTGTTTCCTCTGTTGTTTCCTTTCTTAATGCAGATTTATGCCCTTTTATATTTTTCCTCTCACTTCAGTGGATTTCTGGAAGAAGCAGAGTTTTAGACATGTGTACAGAGTTTTCTACATCTAACCAGCATTTCTACTTATTAACATACTTGTTTGAACATTTCTATAGGAGAAATTTATGAAAGTGGTCCAAAGGATTTGAACATTTAGTTTTTTTCTGATATTGTCAAATATCCCTCTGAAAACACTATAACTCACACTTTTCACATTAGAGCATGATGATGCTGATACAGCATTTTAATCTTTTTGAAATTAATGCATGCAGTGTTTTGGGGGAATTATAATATTTTTAAGATCATTCTGTAACTTCTTAGCTTTTAATTTTCTCTTTTTTTATATTTAATCTAAACTGACATAAACTAAGTATTTTGTGGCTGCATCTTCTGTGACCTTAATTGATTGTTTTAGTTCCTATTTTAGCTGAGGACCTTTGTTGTTTCAGAATAAATTTGGGGGCTAGTTAAAAAAAAGGAAAGCTTCTTTATATTTAGTGTTGTGAATAAATCATGTGTCAGACATAGTCAACACTATGCATATGTACTAATGGTACAACGTGTTTATTACTTTCTGGAGAAGAAGCAACCAGTCTCCGTTCCTACTTTAGTTCTTGGGGTGTTTAATTTGGAGTTGTGCCTATTGAGTCAATTTCTCCTTCCAGTCCTGCTGAAAGAATTGTTTTGGCATTTTACAGATCAGTTATTCTAGTTCTTCAGAGTCCTAGAAGATGTTTTTTTAAATAGTAAAAAAATTAAATATGAATTGTGTCAAGAATTTAACGCTTTCTACAGAAGACTAAAGTTTTTAAAAAATTTGTTTCGCTTGATTAGTCAGTTTATTCCATATCATTTAGTTGTAAATCTTAGTGTTACTTCCAGCCTTTGGGCCATTTGTCAGTGATATTAATCAATGGTTTTAAATACATAAAAAGCTCTGTTTCACAGTGCATTTGAGGGAGAAAGTAAATTTATGTAAATTATACTGTCAAGAGGAGACATCATTAGCTTTTTTTTTAAGAGTAATGTACAAACAAACACTTCAGGATAATCGTTTGTAAAGTATGGTTCCCAGATCAGTAGTGGCAGCCTTACCTTGTATCTTATTAAAAATGCACAATTTTTGGTTTTATCTCAGACCTGCTAAATCAGAACCTGTGGGGCTGGAACCCAGCAGATCCTCCAGATCATTCTGATGCACATTAAGGAATAACAACCATTTCTTCAGGGATTAAGAGCATGGATTTTTAAATCAGACATACCTGATTTGAAATTCCAAATTCCATTATTTAATATCTGTAACTTTGGGCAAGTTATCTGTCTTCCCTGAGCCTTTGTTTTCTCAGTTGTAAAAGGGAGTATTACCTCCCTCATTTGGATTAGGGTTAATGGGGTTGTCAGTTGCCTAGTAGAGGCACTTAGAAATGATTACAGCATCCTTACTATTAAATATATGGTATAATTTATTGATTCTAAAATATAGTTATCCTATATTAATATTTCTGAAATTGTATAGCTTATAGTCAGATGGTTAGAAAACACTGTGTCAGTTTAATTGGTAGAGTTTTTTATTTCTTAATGGCACATGAAATAATGGTGAATTTAAAATTCAATGTTGTTTTTGATGTTCAAGGTGCATGAGCACTGTCAAGGTTGGGCATATAATTGAGTGTGTATTAATTTGATGGGACAAGTATTGAATTGGCCTCAGAGAGCAGGCAGTCTAACTAGAAATTGAAGAGACTGAATTTAGCAAATAAATGTGACTGGAGCTGAACATTTGCATGGGAGCCAAAAGAGAAATAATCTGAATTAACATAAACAAAATTCATACTAGTTAATATAGAAAAATTATATTTATTTATAGATTTTTCCATATAGTTTTTTATGCTCCTCTTAAGTCAGTTGTCATCAGCCTTTGGCTTGTAACAAAACCACTGTGGCACTGAAACAATATGCTTGCAACATCTCCACACCCAGACCTGCTGAATTGAGATTGCTAGGCTTTCCAGTTACATATATCCATTATCTCTGCCAGGATTAAATTAATTACATTTGTTTTAGTTACAGTTTTTAAACTGAGTTACTTTTCTGGTACTCCTTTTAAGAAAAACATTCTTCAATGAGTTACACCTTTTAAAATAGCTATTCTTCACTTCTTTCCCTCTCTTCTCTTCCCTTTTCTCAGTGGTCCCTGGAAGAGAAGGTAGATAATTGACATTTCTGTTTTGTGCTGGGAAACATTGCTCTAATATGATCTCCATAAAGAGGGTACCATACCTAACCCTACAAATTTTTTTCCCTCTGAGTATATATATCTAGTGATGAACTTTAGGCTGTCTTTGGTCAGCATTAACTGTATGTAGCAAGTTTTTTCTGTTTTGTTTGCTCTCTATATCCACTTCTGTGTCTGCTTTTTACTACTTTTTACTACTGATGCTGTTATGTGTCTAGGCATAAAATAATCCTTTATCCTACTACTTATCTTTATTGCTTTTTCCTCAACTCCTCCCTTCTTGGATTTGAAAACTGAAGGAAATCATTATTTCTATGTAAATAATTTTAAGGTTCTTTTATGAAAACATTAATACAAACATACAGAATAGAGCATCTGAATGTCGTAAATTGTTTTTCCTACTTACCAGATTGTAATGTCCAAGCACGTTCTTATCTCATCAACATAAGGAAGTCTATGCCTGACCTAGGATCTTTCTTTTTTTCTTTATTTCTTTTCTTTTCTTTTCTTTTTAAGAAACTTGTGGTGGAGAATGTTGATGTGCTAACACAAATGAGGACCAGCTTTGACAAACCCGACCAGATGGCTGCACTCTTCAAAAGATTATCGTGTGGGTAACTCATGATACTTTTTATAAGCATTAAGACCTTGGTATTCAGTATTTAGCTTTTGCTCAAATTTTATAAATATAAATATAAGTAGTAAGTTATAAAAAGTACTCTTTAGTGATGAAAAGAACTAGAAAAATTTGCAGTCAAAAGATCTTTTAAGTGAATGGCTTATCTGTTTCATAATTTTTTTTTCTTTACCATACTCTTAGTACCATGTGTCAAATATTTGATATCATTATCAATTGATTCATGAACCATTAAGTTAAATACAATAAATATGTAGTAAGGATTTAGACTAAAAGATATTTAACTGAGTCTGTAACTTTCTAAAAATCAATTTTATTGAGGTAGGTATACAGTAAAATGTGCACATTTAAGTGTACATTGTGATAGATTTTGGCAAGTACATACATTCACATAACCATTACCACAGTCAAGATAGAGGAGGGGGAAGGGTGTAGCTCAGTGGTAGACATGCTTAGCACACACAAGGTCGTGGGTCCAATTCCCAGTACCTCCATTAAGAAATAAATGAGCAACCTAACCACCTCCCCCCAAAACAAACAAACAAAAAGTCCAAAATAATCAACTATCCTTTAATAAGGGGGGGGGGGAAGCGATTGACCCAAACGAGATTTTTTTTTTAAGTTAAAAAAAAAAAAAGCTATAGAGCAGCCCATCACCTCAGAAAGTTTCTCATGTAGTCAGTTTTACATCCCCAGACAATGAATGGTCTGATTTCAATCACTGTAGACTAAATTTGCCTGCCTAGAACTTCATATAAACAGAATCATACAGTATATACTCTTTTGTATATACCGTTGAGATTCATCCCTCTGTGTCAAGTGAATTGGTAATTTACTCCTTTTTATTGCTGACTAGTACTCATTGCATGAAAATCTGAGCCTACAACTTAAAAAAATTTTTTAAATGTCTGTTTTTTTTTAATGTCTTCCTAATAGTGATTCATTATGGGAGATATATTGTGAAGTAGCAGTGAATCTTAAATGTTAAAGTATGTCTGGTCAGGTTACTATTTTAGATGCACTTGAATTATGTTTGAATTTGTTCTTTGTACTTGAACTCAGCTATAATTAAAAATTATTTTAAAGCCATACTTATTGTTTCATTTTAAAGCCTTTCCAACATTAAAAATTTAGTGAAATCCTAAATAAAATACTCTCTACATTTGAGAAAACTAGAGAAATAGTTTATTTTCCCAAATAACAAATAAACGTGGAGTAATTTAAAGCCATACATATATTTTACATACTTTGATGTTGTTCTTTTAAATGTTTTGCAGCTGTATCAAATTTTATAAAACTATAAAATGATTTAGAGAATCACTTTATTAGGCTATCTTATCATGCTTTTAAAATACAAACTTATTTAATAAAAATTAATGTAAAACTAAACTATACTACAGGTTGCCCTTTACAACAGATCAGTGGTTGCCAGAACTATAAAGGGAAAGCAACAAAGGAATTCTTTGGGGTGATGAAACTATTCACCACTGCGGTGATGGCGGTAACACAGATCCACATGTGTTAAAATTTTCCTAGAGTTGGGCACCAAAAGGGGAAAAAGACAAGTTTACTGTATGGAACTTTAAAAAATGAAATTTTGAAAAATGAAAAAGGGAAGATTGACTTGATAGCATTATAGGAAGGAGTGTGGATAAATACTTACCATTTTTTAAATCCCTCCCTGATCTCTTTTGTTCATTGTTTTACTTTTGTACTTACATTTCCTAATATGTTTTACTTTATTCTTTTTTTTTATGTTTCTCTCATTTTTTAATACTCATTTGACCACCCAACTGACCTTAACTCTGCTTAATTTCCTGCTAATAAACATTTTAACTGTATCATGTAGTTAGAAGCAACTAATCCACAACAGTGTGCACTGCCTGTTTGCTGTTACTTTTTGTGGAATTGAAACAGTCTTTTTAGTAATTTGGAAAAAGAAAGATCTGCTTGAGAGTGACTTACTTAGGGGAATAGAGGAAGTTTGAATTGAACTGTTTTCCTAAATACTCTCTTTTGTCTCTGATCTCTTCTTTACTTTTGTGCCACCTTCATCCCATATCCAGAAATTGATGTATTTTTGTAACAGTTTGATTTTCAAAGTCAGCAAACACATTCTTTTAAATATCTTTAAAAAGAAAAAGCTATATAATTTATTAAAAGTAGCTCTGAATTGGGAGACAATCTGAAATTAATTTTTAGTTTTGGAAATTTCTATGTGACTTGAGTAAATTTATTTTATTTATTAAAACAGTAAGTTAAACACGATTTCTTACTGTGAAATTTCTCAGAACTTTTAATGTGTTGTTATTGTGCATACTCAAGAGGAGGTTGTAGGTGCAGTCTTTGCAAACTTACTTGATTAAATTCTGGGTAACATCCTTTGGATATGATTATATCACACTATTTTCTGATTATTCACCATCTTATTCTCTGCATTCCTTTTTCTGGGTTTGCTGTCTTATTTTTAGGCCTGGAATGCCCTTTTATTTGCATTCCTCCTTTATGCCCAACTTGGATAACATATTCTTTCCATTTCTGAATAGTAACAATTTCCTAGCATCAGGTTTTGAATAACTTTCATTGAACATCTTCTGTTCTCCTGGGTCTCAAGCACTCTGCTGAGTGCTAGAGATAGCTAAAACGATTAGTAAGATTGGTTCCTGCTCATGTGGAATTTATAATATATGAGTTATATCATTTTGTTAATACTACTATTTTAATTTTTATCACATTTGGCTTATGTTATGCCTTTTCATATGTGTTAATAAGAGATGCTTATAGTAAAGGTTTAAAGAAACCACACAGGAGGTGGAAAGTCAAAACATACAATTCTCTCTATTCCTACTCCTCAGAGAGAACTACAGTTAACAGTTTTCTACACATCTTTCTAGATATTTGTTATGTAGATACAAATATATGTGTGTGTATATATATATTTATCTTTTCTCACATAAATGGGATCATATTTTTTTAGTTTTCTTGACAATCCATTTAGACTGTTACTTAAGGTCTAAATTATTACTTTGTTTATGTTTACATTCTTATTACATAGTACAATGCCTTGTATACACGGAGTGATTCAGTAAATGTTAGCTTTTTAAAATATGATGGTATTGAACCTTCTAATTCTAATCTCCCTTGATTTTATTTAACCAAGTTTTGATATTGAGTATAATAGTAATAATTTTCAGAATAATACTCTGACCAAAATGCATGTGATCAAATCCATGCATAGTCTTCAGAAACCTGGTCTTACTGCGTATGATCCCAATAGTCATTTTTTTGTTCCTTCACTCTCCAGGCCTCAACAACTTAATTTAGTACCTCCAAGTTACAAGGCCATTTAATTTTGGTGATCCACTCTGATCTGCTCCCTCTACCCTTTCATTCCTTTTTCCTACCTCTACCATTATTGAGATAGATGGCCACGTAGATGATTGTTTCAAGATTCTGATGAACAATCTAAACCATTTTAAAGAACAGTGTACTCCATTGGAAGTAAACTGTAATTTCCTTAATTTTAATATCAGCTTTCAGTACCTTTGCCTCTTTAATCACTTGTTGTAATCAAATTGTTTTTAATTGTGCCTTTTATCGTGGGGATTTTATGACTGGGCTTTCTCCAGGGTTAAGAAAGAATCCAATTCACACTCTTCTCTTTTCCCCTTCCTTCAAATTTAGCTGTTGACAGTGTCTTGAAGAGGATGACAATAATTGGTGTAATTTTATCCTTCAGATCATTGGCACAAGAAGCACTTAGAGATGTAAGAAACCATTATAAGTATATGTCCTATATCCAAATAATCCTTTTTAATTTTCCAGAAATTGAAAGTAAATTTTAAAATTCATAGTTGGCAGTAATATAATTAAAATTCTAGTTTTCATAATTTATATAAAATAAAGTATATAGGTATTATAGTTACTTAAACCCGTTTTTTGTTTTAGTATTGAAATTCGGGGGTATAACTTGCCAAATATCCAGTATAACTGGATATTGTGCTACTTTTTCAACTATTTTCTTCATTAAAGCGCTTTGCATTTTGTCTATACTTGGCTTGGCATCAAATACATTCCATTTCTGAGTATCTTAGTACTTTCAAAAATCACTTGAAAATAGATAAAGTAAAATAATTTTTATGAAAACTAGAAGTAATTGAACGGTAATATTTTATAAGTTTAGAGGTTGCCTTTTAAAAATAATTCTGTGTTTTTATTTGTTTTCCTAGGTCTTGTCCTACCACATTCCTTTTCTTGTAAGTTCAATTGAAGATTTCAAAGATCACATTCCAAGGGAAACTGATATGAAGGTAATAAGACTTCTATTTGGATTTTACAGCTTCTAAAATGAAATATTTAGCTTACATATAAAATAAAATTTAGTAAATCCTAAACTACTACAAAGTGTCTATTTTAAAGTGATCATTTAAGATGCTTGCCTTTGAAAATGCATCTTTATGAGCTCAGCACCAAAATACTACATAGGCATTTTGAAAGTCAGTCTTCCTTGATCACCTGTAGCACTGTAAAATGAGTTAATATCAATCACCTTTTCCTTAAACTGATTGCTGTTTATACATGGTCATAAGCAGAATGAGAAAAATAAGCCAGTGAAATGACAGTTGTTTGTTTTAAATAAAGCTGAATTCAATCAGTTTTTTAAAATTGATGTTAAAGAGTCTTATAAATGGATATTAAGTATAGGCTGTCATTTTTTAAAATTAATATCCTATTTTAAATAAATTAATTGATTAACTTTAAAAAAAAAAGGAGGTTGGTAACCTTATGAGAGCGCACAGGTTTTATTTGTTTTAAAAATTTATTAATCATGAAATACAGCCACTGATAATCTCAGCAGATTTACCAGTGGTTACACATCTGGTAGGTGACCTGTCAGGGCTCATATCTGTGTTTTCTAAACTTTCGTGTTTCTTGAAAAGATTATTTTCTGATTTTCATACTTTGAGAAGCCCTTACTTTAAAAAGTTACTTCTAAACTTTTTGTATGGCTTTTTGAGTCTTCTTTCAAATTGATTTTTTAGGCCTATCTTCCTTCACTTGTTCCATCCTTCTCACTCACTTCCCTTTCTTAATCTACTCCTCTCTTCATTTGGACTCTGTAAGGTGACCAAATCTTGCTATGTGCATTTTCACATTTTCTACTTAGTTCTCTAATTTATTCTTCCTGAAAACCTTGCCTTTTTCTATATGTGCCTTTTGAAATCTTGCTTATTTTTTAAGGCCTGCTTCAATTGTCATCTTCTAAGTAACATTCTTGGATCCCCAAGTGATAAAGAATTTTTTTTTTAGTGTTATCAGAGAACTTTTTGTTTGTTCAGTGTAGAATTAAATATATTCTGCCTTCTATAATAGTTGTGTTTTTCCACTTAAATTTGTACTAGATTGTAAAGTTTTGTTGTTATAATATCAGAGGTAACCAATTGTGTAGGTAGTTCCAACTGAGGTATTGAGCAGTCAGAATACCCTTGAATCCATATGTGATACCAAAAAAATTACTTTGGTCATTAAAAATTGCTTTACAAGATTTCAATTTAGTACTCCTTTAAAAAGTAGTAAGTAATTTACTATATTTATAGATACAATATTAGGCATTGAACTACTATAATTTTTAATTAAACAAGAATGGACATAAACCTAAGGCCAGTAATTCTGATTCGCTTTTGTTCATCTCTTTTGGCTTTATCTTGATCTTACACTTGTGCTTCCAAGAAAAATAACTTTCAAATGATTCTGTTGGAATTTGTCACAGAAAGTATACAAGTTTTGTTTGGCCTAATAGTAGCAAGTTATGATCAGCAGCATACACAGGAAGTACTGAATCAGCTGTTCAGTGTAGTTGTGCTGTAATTCCTTCTTCAGCAGAGTTTCTGAAATTCTCTAATGTTTTTGTAAGCAGAATCTATCTTTTCTTACTAAAGTGAGATTTGTTAGAATATTAGAGTATTTCTTACTCTGAAATTCTTATATTTTTTAGGTTGCAATGAATGTGTATGAATTATCATCTGCTGCTGGATTACCTTGTGAGATTGATCCTGCCTTAGTGGTAGCCCTTTCCTCACAAAAATCAGGTAAAATGCATTCGTAAATATGTAGTAGTCTTTGTAAATAACCAGGACAACACAGATATATGTGTGACACTTACCTATTTCTTACAGATGCCTGCTTTGTGTCAAGTTTTGTTTTGGTAGTTAGAATATATCAACGTAGAAAAGACCAAGATCCTTGTCTTCTGGAACTTATGTTATGGCATCATCATCATACAGATTAGATACTTAAATCATAAGACCGGGCAAGATTATTAAGCCCATTTAGTGTGCAGAAGTGAAGAGGATCAGAGTCTGAGCCCTGGGGCACACTCAAGTTTAAGAACTGAGGGAAAAGAGGAGGAACCACCAAAAGAGAAACTTTTCAAGAAGGATCCATGAAGGAGGAGGGGGAAAGAAAAGGAAAGAATCCCTTCCCAGAAAGGGAATGATCAGCTATGTAGAATTAATAGGTATGACAAGAGCAGTGTCAGTAGAGTCTTAGGGTCAAAAGGCTCATTAAAGAGGGCTTACAAAAAAATAGAAAAGGAATTGGAGATGAATATAAAACAGCTCTCTCACAGAGTTTTACTGTATAAATAGGAGCAAAGCAATAAAATTATAATAGCTGGAGGCAAGAGTAAAATCAAGAGAAGGAATTTTTCAGATGGGGAAATAATTGAATTTGCATGCTGATGGAGATGGTCTAATAGTAAATTTGTTATCTAGAAAAGGGTGTCCTATTTTAATTGGGCTAGAGCTACTTACCATAGTCTTTGCATTATTTTGTAATATTAAACATGTAAAATATTTTATGGCCAGCCTTTTGAAATGCAGCACCCAGAATGCTCTAGGTATTTCTAGATTTATCTACAAAGTGAATAGCCTTTCATCTGTCTCTGGTACTAAAATGCCTTCCCTTACTTTCTTGGATATAACATTGTATTTGACTGAGTTCATTGGATCTTTTTTGATTTTAACATTATTTTTTATTTTGTCATTCATGCAGTATGTTAATTATAGTCACATGAATAATTTCTATGACTGCTTGATTTGCCATAGCTGTATTTTTCATAATCAGCCAGATTTTTGAAATACATTCTGGCTTTTATCTTCAATTCTTAATTGTATGTGGTGATGAATAGTAAGGTAGCTGGAAGTTCCCAGGTTCCAGATAAGTCAAGTGCCTAGATAACCCACAATTTTAGTATACATTACAGTAAATATCTTAGATAAATTATTTTACAATAAATATTTAAAGCCTTGGGACAGTGCTAGTTATTTTCATTTATGACTGGTTCCTCTTTTCTTCTAAAATGGAGAGCTTAGAAATTCAGTCTACTTTCCACATTTATGTCTTTTTAATAGTAAATTTCAAATTGCATTCATACTGATTTTAGAAAAAAAAGTTTTTTGGATGACTTTGCAGAGTCAGTTATGAGATAATAAATTTTCTATACTGTAACAGAATTTTCCTGTAAAATAATTTATTCTTAGTTTTCAATTAGGAAATTTTAGGATTCCAGTTATCCTATTTTTAGCCCTGTAACCTTACAATTGAAAAAAAAAGAAAATTTTGCCTTATTGCTTATTAGAGGTCCTTGGGATATGCCTGAGGAACTTGATAATAGCCGATAGAAATGTATGTTATTTCTATTTATTCTATATTTCTTATAACAAAATCATAATGAGTTCTGTAGAGTCTCAGTAAAATACATAAAAATTAAAGTTTACTTTTTTCTTGTTTAGATTATCAACTCTTAAATAATCTTGAAAGAAATACCTTGGATTTATTTTTAATATTTTTCCCTTTTAGAAAACATAAGTCCAGAAGAAGAATATAAAATTGCCTGCCTCCTCATGGTCTTTGTGGCAGTTTCTTTGCCAACACTGGCCAGCAATGTGATGTCTCAGTATAGCCCTGCTATAGAAGGTAATAGTGGTTTAAAATTGTTTTGGCACTAGGAAAGTTATGAAACTTGATATAGTAGGTACTTTTCCAGTAATTGATGTTTTTTTAATAATAAAATGTGTGTTAAGTTCTGCCACTTACTAGCTGTATATCCTTGAATAGTCAATTTTTTTTTCTAAGCTCCAGTTTCATATATACAAATGAAATGTGTATTTGTGAGCCTATGAGTGCTTGAATGTGTGTGTGGTAGGGGTGGTGAAGGGAGTATCCAACTCTTAGGATTATTTTAAGGATTGAATGAGGAAATATTTGTAAAAGCAGCTAAGCACTTATTTTTAAGTTTCCAAGACATTGTAAAACTGATATATGATTTCTTTTAGGGGATTTTGAAAATGTGCCTGTTTAATACAGATATAATTATTTGTTGCGCTCTTGCTACCTTTTTTTTGTTTCTTCTTTTTGTTTCCTTTTCAGTTTTATTCGGCAGAATTTGCTACACTGTTCTTAAAAGCACTAGTTTTTATAAAAGTGAAAGGAGAGCAAAATAGACTATGCCTCAGCTTTGTTTTTCTTTATGCCACTATTTATGTAGTTTTTGAAATCTTTAAAGTTTTGCCTTGTATGTGTTTTTGATATTTTGGGGTCACACAGAAACCACAAACCCTGTTTGCACTTTCTCAGGGCACTGCAACAACATACATTGCTTGGCCAAAGCCATCAACCAGATCGCTGCAGCGTTGTTTACAATTCACAAAGGAAGCATTGAAGATCGGCTTAAAGAATTTCTGGCGGTATGTTTAATCAAATAGCAAAACTCATGAAACTCATGACACTTTTTTTAAAGACAATTAAAAATCATAACTATGAGGTGTAACAAAGTAAATTCTATTAATTAATTTATTTATTTTTAGAAGGACAGGGCATTAAAATCAAGGAGCAGTGAATTTAGTGTTTTTTCCCCTTTGACTTAGAAATCTCTCATCCCCCACCCCCCAGTTTCCTTCTTTCCTTTTTTATTGAAGTATAGGCAGTTTACAGTGTTGTGTCAATGTCTGGTGTACAGTATGTTTCAGTCATACATATACATACATATATTCATTTTCATATTCTTCATTATAGGTTACTACAAGATATTGAATATAGTTGCTTGTGCTATACAGTAGAAACTTGATGTTTATCTCTTTTATGTATATTAGTTAGAAGTCTCTCATTTCTAGAGCTCTACAATGTGATCTTTTTTTCTAAACTAGTGTTTGGACTGCCCTAGAGTTTTGCCTAGGGTTTGAAAGAGGGAAAAACAAAATAAAGGAAAATTGAGGCAAAGGGTGAAGAATGTTCCCTCTAAAAAGATATATTTTACTTATTTCCATTTATTCAGGGAAAAAACTGTTAATGGTGACATAATCAAAAGTAAGAATATTACTCACTACCAAAAGAGGGTAGTAGTGCCAGCTCTAGCTTCATAAGTATGGCTCTTAGTTTCTGTGGTAGTGTAGCTCTTCTTTTCCCTATCAACGTACCTTTTCTGTATTTTACTTAAAGGAAAGATGCACTGTGGTATAAAGAACACTAGAATATTTGCATCTTTCCAAGTTACAAGTCCTGTTCACTTTTTAAATTTTTGATTTTGGAAGCAAATGTAGTACTAACTTGAGGACAAAAGAACATCTATTTCAAAGAAAAGAGTATTAAGATTTAACATTTTTCTATTCATTTTCTTTATTTCTTCCATTCAGGACTTACAACTGTGGTCCCATTAACTGAAACTCAGTATAAAATTTTCTTCTTATTTGAGAACTAAGAAATATAGTTAATACAGATTAACTGTAGAAGAAAAACGTAATTTAAAAAATTTAAAAAAAGACTTTTCCTGAATAAAATCAGTTTTAAAGACCAATAAAAATATTGGATTATGTTTATTATCTTTGTGTCTATTTATACCTTAATAGCTCTTAAGTTATTGCTTGTGTTTTGACTTCTTCTTCCTTTTTTTTTTTAATGGAGGTACTAGGGATTTAACCCAGGACCTTGTGCATGCTTAGCTACCACTGAGCTATACCCATCCTTAAATTATTGCTTGAATGTGAAGAACATAAGCTCACCTTATTTGCTGTTTAATTGCTCATTGTCTTGTATATAGCCACTGAATGATTGAAAAGTGTTGCAAATTGAAGCATACTGAAAATAAACAAGTTTAAAAAAACTTATTTATTTAAAATGTATGTATACTTTTAAGCTTGCATCCTCCAGTCTACTGAAAATTGGCCAGGAGACAGATAAAACAACAACAAGAAATAGAGAATCTGTTTATTTACTGTTAGATATGGTAAGTCTTTTTTAAATTTTTGTTAGCAACAAAACAGTTCCATTCATTCCTGATAGTCTTTTCTTGGTATCGTAGCAATTCAGTAACAATAAGAGCATGTACTTTTTTGACCATTTACATTTACTCCACCCAAGCCACAAACTTTCTAAAAATTGCTTAAAAAAAAAACTGACATCATTTCTGTTTTACCATATGGTAATCATACCAGAAAACAACAAAATTAAAGATCACCATTACCTACAGAGTATTCTTTTATGAAGTTTTCAACCTATTGGGAAACAGTTGGGCCTTTATATTTTCCTAGTCTATCAGTTTCAACTCTTCCCAGTTTTCTGAGTTTTCTGTTTTCTGACTCTGTTCTGCCTATCTAATAAAATTTCCTATAACTTTCTGTACTTAGTCAATTCCTTTTCTTCACTGTTCATGAAACCTGCTGTGCTTGCTTCTACCATGTGACTCTTTCCTCACTTAGAATAATTTCTTTTATCTGCAGAGATCTGGTCTATTCTAATGATTCATCATACCCTATAGCTCACATTTTTTTTTCAGATAGACCTTTTTGATTACTTTGGCCTAAATTAATTTTTCTTCTGTTTTGAACCCTCTAGAACTTACAGCTTTTCACTTAACCATAGTTGGTCTCATTTTGATTTGGCTTTTTAGCTTAGTCTTGGGTACTCAGACTTGATGATATGGATCACATTTTAAATATGTTTGTATTTTCTTCTAAGTCTAATATATTGTTGAAGGCAATTTCTAGTGCTCAATGTTACCTACTGATTACTTAATTTAATTGAGAAGTAGTGATTTAAGACATTTTGATAGCACATACTATGGCACATTTACATTTCAGATTTTAAAGTAAAAGGAAAATAATTTATGTCTGTTCCTAATAAGAACAATATAAAATTATGCTTTACTAGTTGTCAGGATTTATAATGTTCCATTATAAGTAACTTGAATTGATGCATTTTTGGAATTTTTCAGATTGTGCAGGAATCCCCATTCCTTACAATGGATCTTTTGGAATCTTGTTTTCCTTATGTCTTGCTGAGAAATGCGTACCATGCTGTCTACAAGCAAAGTGTTACATCTTCTGCATAAAGATATCTACTTACTGAAGACAAGCACGCATTTTTGTTGCCTCGGTTTTATCTGTAAACTGTGGAACTATTTTACCTTAAGGCCTGAAACACAGTTTTGTGGATTATAAATTTCTTTCATACGATTGTATTTTCTGATCATTGGTTTCTTAATATGGCTGTACTTCAGTATACTTGGTTGATTTAGGTTGCACATTCACTGAATTCACTGAAATTATTCCAATAATTTTAGAGTATCATTTGTTTGAAAAACATTATCTCTATGTTTTTGATATTTGATAATGAAAAAAACTCTTTGCTTGTTTATTTCTGAAAAAAAATTGTATTTAGTGATTATTTTAGATAGTGATATTAGGGCATTCATCTGTGTGTAAATTATTTCATATAGGGAAGAGTTCTGACCTGTACCTATGGTTCTTATTGAAAACAAAACTGGATGTGCATTTCTGTGATGTTATGAATACATTTCTACTTTATTTTGAAACATTTGCCAAACTAATTACTATAACACTGTATAACACTAAAAATGGACTGCTTAGAAGCAGACAGTGCCCCAAAACTCTAATAAAACAGCAGCATATGTTGTTGCTTGTATAAAGCCTAGTGATAATTTTTAGACTAATTTCCATGGTGCCCTGTTGGCATTAGCACTATCATTGTACCCTGCTGTATAATAAACAATCTTAGACATTTATCAGCTGTTGATACAAATGTTAGTCCCTAATCACTTTTTATATGTTTTAAATTTTTGAAATTCAAGTGTACCTGCCATAACATAAAATAAACACTAGACTGTATCACATTTTGAATGATTTCTTTAATTTGGGATTCTTGGAAATTCAATAATATGAGAGTTTTAGTTTAAACTTAGTTTAGGAATGTCAAAATGTATCACATTTGGTATCAGGTCAGCTATTACAAGATTGGTTTAAATGTTTTAGAAAATATTCCACTAGAATTAATATTAAATTTAGAAAATAAAATTTGTAACTTTTAAAAAATTAAGAACTCAAAGGGAACTTGTGTGCCATCAGCTTGCAAATTTTATCTGTAAGCAAGTGGACAGATATTTGAAAAGTTGGGAAACTGAATGATCACAGAACTAGTGAAAATGTTGAGAAACTACTATATTAGTCAGTAATGAATGAGAAAGACATCAGGGGCCTATTGCTGGGCAGTTGGCATGGAGGGCAGAGCAGCTCATTTAGTTTGAAAAATAACCAGGTGTTTTGCTCTTTGGCATTGCAAAGACTGTTTCTCAACAGCTGTGTATCTGGATATCATATGGAGAGAGTGTCTGTTGTTCACAGCTTCTAATGTATACACTGGTAACTTGTACTAAGATAAAAGAAAGCTACTGTGAACTCAATTATGATTTTTTTGTTGTTCAGAGACAGGAATGGAATTGAATGAGGTTTGAAAGGATGATCATACCTGTTTTGTGTATGATTACTCCAGTCTATATTTAAAGCAAGGAATAGGTGTCACTACCTGTTGAAAATTTCCGGCGGTTCCATGAGGGTATTTCCAAAGGGAAGGAATTTTTAAATGGAATAGTTTTTTATTTTTATTTTTTTAATGGAAGTACTGTGGGTTGAACCTAGGACCTTGTGCATGCTAAGCTTGGGCTCTACCACTGAGCTATTACCATCCCTCTGGAATAGTTTTAGACTTGAAATAGCCTGAATACACAGTCAACAGTTGAAACTAAGATTAAAAGCGGTTTACTTTGAAATATTAGGATCCAAATGTGATAATAACTTGTCGGTAATGATATCCTCAGAGGAAAAGTAGGCATTTGAGTAAATATACTTTAATTGGAGTAATAAGTGGAAGGGCAATAAAGATGTACGTAAGAAATTATTAACCCCTGTTCAGGCCAAGAAATCTCACTCTTGTGTAAGTCGGGTAAAGTATTTCTTGCCCCAGTTTTTTTTTCTCATATACTTAAACTGACTTGCTGACTGACTGAGTGGCTGGCTGGCTGACTGATTGGTGTACAGTGTGAATATTCTTTGCAGAGAGTCTTTCTACCCAAATAAATAATTTTTTAAAAATAAAAGTAAATTGACCACTACCATTTTTAACATCTTGTTTGTGTTACCTTTTCTTGTTTTCTCCTGTAATTTATACTACAACATACTGTTTTTGTTGTTTTTCTCTACAGTAATGTGATCATACCATGTATGTTTTCCTGTAATCTACTTATTTCGCTTGGGTTAAAAAAGACCTTTGATATTTGATACTCTTTTTAGTGCCTTCACATATATCATAACTAGTTTAACAGTTTCATTTGGATGAACATTTAGGTGGATTTCTTGTTTTTCATTTTAGGCATACCTTGGAGATATGGTGGAGTCAGTTCCAGGCCACCACAATAAAGTGCATATTACAGTAAAGTGAGTCACACAAATATTTTGGTTTCCCAGTAAATGTTTACCCTAGCCTATAGTGTATTAATTGTGAAATAACATTATGTCTGAAAAAAAGTACATACCTTAATTTAAAATATTTCATTGGTTAAAAAAAAAACACTAACCATCATCGGATAATGCAGGGTTGCTACAAAACTTCAATTTATAAAAAATGCAGTATTTACGAAGTGTAATAAAGCAAAGCTCAATAAAATAAGGTATCCCTGTATTATATATGTATTGTATCCTGGTAAACTTGGCTATGTTCTCCTTAGGGTAATTTCTCACAAGTAAAATTGCTTGCTAGAGGGATGTGTACGTTTTAAACTTTGGTACATATTATTAAATTTCTCTTCAATAAGATCGTATCAGTTTTACTCCTGTAATTGTGTATGAGTATAGTCTCCTCCACTATTGTCAGTGCATCTCTGCCTCTTTAAAAAATGAAACATAAATCTTGTTTTAATTTGCATATCCTTGCTTATTAGTGAAGTGGAGTATCTTTTTTATGTTTATTGGTTGTTCTTATTTAATGAATTACTCCTTTTCATTCTTTTTGTTATCTTCAAGTAGTCAAAAGATTTTTCTTTTAAAATACTAGTCGAACACATTTGCATATGTAAGATTTTTTAGTGCCTGTGGTTAGAAAACACCCTCTATTCAATGTTGAGTATAGTGATAATGACTACTAAAATATACAAATAGTGCATAGTAATGTTATTATACAGCTACTTTGATTACTGAATTTTAATTGATTTTTAGAGTTACAAGACATTTATTTCCAAATCCAAGTTAAGAACAGTATTGATATAAAAAGGGTATATATACCTGTTACTGGATGAAAAGTTTGTCCAATTTAAATATATGAACTTCATAGTAGATTGAAATTACACCAGGACTCTCATTCCTTTATTATATATTTATACTATTAAATAAGTATATTGTAAATTACATACTAAGCTAATTCCAAAAGATGTTCTTTGTGTGTTTAGATATTGTACATAGAAGGCTGTAAACCAATTTCAACCTCATTTCTCAGAGATGACCTTTTGAAACTTTATGTTCCCAAGTGAAAAACCTACCAATGAAAAAGGTTAAAAGTTTTAAGACCTTCTTTGCCTTTCATACAAATAGTCTGGAATACATAATTTTCAAAAAAGAAAAAAAACTACCTTCCTCTTAAGTTCATATGATTAATATGAACATTTTAAGTTACCAATAAAATAGACAATTAAATTACATCTTCTAAAGTTAATTTGTAAAACTCTTTATATTTTAATGTGCTTGGTAAAATTAAGTGTCTATTATTCATTCCGGTCCAGACTTCATTTTATGGAAGGTTTTCCAATTTTGCAAAATGCTTTGGAACCTAGATAAAGTGGCCTTTTGTTGTTAACATACAGAAAAAATAGAAATCTTTATCATATACTACTTTAAATGTAATTAAGATAGTTCCTTGGGAGGAAATCACTGCCCCCTACCTGTCATTAATTCATCTTATCTTTATTTACTGTAATCATTACCTATTTTATAGATTGAGCTAATGCAGGATCTCTGGTCACAAAGACCTCTATTCAGTCAATTTGAGAGCATATGTCTACACTGTTGGGGATGAAATAGTTGTGTAAGATCTTGCCTTTGCCTTCCAGGAGATTAGAATGAACTTTGTACTGTTTAAGTCATATTTTAGTCAGTAACTTCTGTTGTGCCAATGTTGCCAATTCTTAACCTCCCCCACCACAAAAAGAAATATTCAGAGTTCACTGCCATAAGCTCTGGTATTTATTCAGGAAAAAGAATGTTGGGAACTTAAAAGGCAAGAGAAGGTTAAGTCCAGAAAAAAAGTCAGAGCCTGGTTTTTGGGGTTATATAATATCTTGGCATAGTGCTGTGGTGATAGCTCTGAGAATCTGATGCAGCTGAGTATTTGCTGGATGAAATCAGTGTAGTTCAAGCTAGCAGTATTCCCACCTAGTATTTGTGTTTCCCTAGTTATTAAAAAACAGTGCCTCAGAGTTAAAATGAGGTGTCCTTTTGGCTAGACTGTTATTTATTCCTTTTTTTCCCTTTTCTCTAACTTACCCCTTAATTTTTCCTTCTCTTTTCCGGAGGTAATCGTGGAATTTGGCACAGGTGCCTGCCGTGACTTCCCTTCTGGAGCCTCCAGATAGTCGTTGGCACTCTCCTAATCATTTTCTACTTTTACATTCATTCATGCATTCAGCGAATATTTCTAGATGCCTGGTTATAATGGTGAACCAAATAGAGAAGGTTCCCCTTTATAGTTACGTTTGCATTTTAATGACGATAGACAGTAAAGGAGCAAACTTCTGATAGTGTTAGGGAAATACAGAATGATAGGCTGAGGAATGGGGGAGAGTTGCTTGGGGGCACTCCTTTAGAAAGTGTCATCCAGGAAGGCCTCCGAAAGAAACATGAATGTTGAGAGGGAGCCAGAAATGGGCAGAGAACAGTGGAAGGTAAAGGCCCAGAAGGCAAAGAACAAACTTGGCATATACAAGAAGTAAAGTGTATCGATTAGCATTTCTATCACAGGAAGTGCTGCAGGCTCCCCTCGGAGCCCCATTTGCCTAGCTAGCTCTTTTCCATTTCTGGTCTGCCTGTCTTCTTCCTTTGTTCCGTTGCTTACATATTCAGAGTTTACAGATCCAGTCAAGGTAGGTTGGTTATAAAGAAGGAAATAAACTGAATCCACTGATGCTGTGGCATTCGTCTGAGAATGGTAAAGCCTATTCTACACCATCAGGTTTTATAAACCAGGTCCAGGTTCTATCAGGCAGTGAGCCATAATCTACTAGTTAATTTAAATGAAATCATGTCCATTCTTCTACTATAATGACTTGCCTTTGGGAGATTTCAGCTGTGCTATTTATAAAGACTTGTGAATAAATAATCCTTAAAGAAGTGTAACTCCTATCTGTTCTTCACCTTTTCTCTATACCCCCCTGAGCATGAACCATCATTTCATTTGATGATCTTGGCCTAAATTTCCAAATAGATCCTCTTTTTCTAAAGGTATATCATGACCTCTGTCTTTCGGGAAAAGAATTTGTTTGAAATGTTAAATGTTTTAATCTTTAGTAAAAATGATTTTTGAGTTATATGGTCTTGTTAAACTGAAAGGAAAAATATTTATCAACTCTACTTTGGTGTTTACTTTCAGGGTGGTAAGTTGCTTTAAATGTATTAAAATGGCATTCTTGTATGAACCAAACTTCCCCTACACATTGCTGTCAACACTTCAGATCAAGCATGCCTACCTGAAATGTTTCATTTCCAAGAAAAGTTTTTAGCTTGTCATTCTGGCCTGAAAATAGCAAAATAGGATAAATTGAATCTAAATCAGGAACCTAGCCATAGAGGACAG